CGACCGAGTATACGGGAAAGCAAGTCTATACGGGAAGCTATGTCTCGATTAATGAAGGAAACAGGGTTATTTTATTGTATACAAATAGTTTTATGTCCCAAGCGGATGTTGAGAGAGAATGTATTTATTAGCGTGAATGTGTAGCATTAGAGGGCTGATGGTGAAAAACTGATTACCCATCGTCCCTCAATTAGGTTAGTTATATAGTAGGTGTAAAGGTTGATGGAAGAATATCGAGTCTACCTCCCTAAATGAATGAATGGTATGTAAACAAGAAAGAATGTATTTACGAGTGAGTGAGAGTGTGAATGAGTTTGGATTTAGGTCATGATTATGTTGTGGGTTGAAATTACCAAGCTGTTGACAGCCCCTGAAGCCAACCTTGGCGGCTGGGCGGATAAGAGGTCTAACTCCGAATTGCGGCGCCCGAGGTGGGTGTTTCTCGAGGCTATAGCTGGAATTGACTGTGCACTGCGAGAAGTGATAGATTCAACTCTGCTCACGCGTGTAAGTTATGTTCGTTGAGCTTATATAAATTAGTAATCATTCCTGACGATATTTGTACATCTTCAATATAATAAATAAATAATACAAATATGTAGAAAGTAGTTCGGGTTGCTTAACAGTAGGCAGGGGACTCATTATCGATACCCTTATTTTATCATAATAATAAAACAGATATAACAATAATTTATCAATTCGTCTCAACAGAATTGTTACATCTTTATCAAAATTAAAAGATTTTGAACTATACTTCCTTTCGTCAATGTGAAATATTATCCAAATTATTTAAATATTATACGTTTTATTTACGATTGAGAGAGAGAGAGTGTGTGTGTGTGAATGGGTTTGGGATGTGGTTAAGAAAAATCATCATAATTGCAACATACTGAAATTACTTTTTTATTTATTTGAACACATACAGTCAGTGATTTTAATTATATCTTTATTTTAAAGTTTGCCCTCTTAACGTGTTGCCTGAAGGAGCTAGAATTTTCATTTCTATTAAGTTTCTGTTTTCAGAGTTAGAAGTATCGACCACCTTCACTCACGAACACTCTGGATCAAGGTACTGTCTTGAACAAAAAGCAAATTCAGTTGTTACTGCCAGGATTTCGACCTGTTTAATCTCATCATCAGGAAAAACAATCTTAAATATGTCTACAAATTGACATATTATATTATGTATTTTTCACGGAGATATCAAATTTCCGTGATGACCGACGGAGTGCTAACTTTGCCAAGGATTGGGACAGTCTTCAAGGAAATTTGAGCTCTCATGTGAAAAATATTAATTTGTCAATCAGTAGGCATATTTAAGATTGTTTTTCTCCGATGATGACCTTAAATAGGTCGAAAGCTTGACAGAATTCTGTTAAACAAATAATTCTGTAAGTTAATACTTGTCAAATTTCGATCAAATTAATTGTTTCAATTGAAACGTGTCCTATCGGATAAATCCAGTATAATTAACTTACCAATGAAAATCTTTTTTTAGAATGAACTTTTGCGGGGGTGCGATCGCTTTCGACCGATGTTGAAGCATTCGGAATCGTTTAAAAATCTAGAATAACAGAATACGAATGAAATGAATCAGCGTTAATTTTTATTGAGAATTATTAAAGACGGGTCAATATTGGGCTGACCCACACAGCCATGGTGAAAATTAAGTCAAAATAAATTAATTAAGTTGTATGTAAGACGGTTGAATGTACGACATACCTACTAGGCAAAAGTAATCACCTCATTATAAGATTAAGGATAAGTTAGGCTATGTATGGATTATCACTCTTATAATGGATTATCCTAATTAGAGGATAATGCGTATTTTCGTCGTTATGCTGGTTGTAAATAACAGGTTCATGGTTAATTGGTTTTTACAATATTTCTTTCGATTTGGAACGTTGTCAAATTTAACTGCTTAGAATTACTTTTAGGATGAGGCCTGTTAGGAAATCCATACACTTTTCAGCCTAGTTCTTCGCCGAGTCGCTAAATGGGGAATTGTTTTCATATTTACGGCTAATTATTGAATAAAAATGAAAGGTCAACAGTAAATTAAATTTATTATACAGGATGGTCAGCTCGTTGAGTTAAAATAATTGTGACCACATCTAAAGAGGAGTAGAGTGTTTTGTTTGTTAAGGAGCAAGTTTTGTTTGTTCTTTTAAAATGTCTTAATTTTTATTCCGATTTTGTTTCTTCACTAATAACTTATTTCAGAATGCATTTGCTAATTATTAATTTACACGCTCAATTACCTCTTGGGACGTGTATTTAATTCCCAGAAATTGCTCGTCAAAATATCAATCGAAGTTTAGAATAGGCCATGGAAAGAGCATAAAATAGTGAAGTTTTCGACTGGTTTGAAATTTAAAAAAAACGTAACATAAAAGCTACGCATTAAAAAATTTGATCCAAAATTATCATTTTGCGAATTTCATGTTTGTACAGTTGTTTTGTAAGTACACTGGCAATTTTCCGAACAAAAGTGGATTAATCTAACAAGAAATTTGGTTCTAATCTCAAATGATCTCAAATGGGGTCATAATTGGGAAAAGTTAAGGTAAAGTACAGAAAATTCGAATTTTATGTAAAGAAACGTGCTTTTCGTTTAAAAAAAAAGGTAAAAAATCGTCACCTTTGAATGGATTAAGATAAAACCATGAAGTTCTCGGCATTCTAGTACACTTTACCTATACTGTCTCGGAATAAATTTTGAACACGAAGATCTGACTGTATACTAGTGAAAATGAAATTTCCTTTTAATTTTATGTCAAAAAGATGGCATTTCTTGCAATATTATAAAGGTATATTAAAGTGTATTTTTTTAAATATTTCAACTATATTTACTAAAGATGGTATGTTTAATTAAATTGTCAATAACGTGATGTGCAAAAAAATTATTACAATGACCTAATTAGACTACGAAAATACACTTTTTTACGAGGGGATTTCAGCTACGAGGTTATATGAACCCTTGGATACCGGTGGTTTTGATAACAAAGCCCATTTGTATGTCGGGTTTAACTTACTTCAAGGCCCCTGGATTAAAACCTAGGACCTTTTACCTTTCAGCTATAAGCCGCCCTGTCAACATCTTAACCGTTGGGTCAAAATCAATTTTTAAAACAGCGTCGTTTATACTTATTATCAAATAAAAATAAAATATTGAAATCCTCAAACCTAAATCACATGAAGCTTAACAAAGCAATAGGTTTAAATTATTTATTTTATATGATGTTGAAAATATCAAGTAACTAGCATACAGTATATGTTTATTTATTACATTATTATTTACAAATTTAAATTTTGTAAACATAATTAATTTTTATTTGATTTTTTATATATAATTAGAATATAAAAGCCCGGAGAGGCAATCAATATTCATACTCTTAATTTTACGATATTTCCACTTTAACTTTTCATTGGTTCATGTTCAACGTTTTAATTATATCAGAAACGTCACTAAAATTGTAGTATTTTCCTTTGAGACAGGCACCCTTACAAGCAATTTCTAAAGTACGCCATTAAACAATAAAAGATGTAATAATACAATAGTCAACATAATAATTCGTTCGTGAATCACGTATTGACTGACTTTATTAAAATAACTGACCCAAATTTAAAATATGAAGTAAAACCTTATGTTAAAAGGCAAATAACCTGGGTTCGGGGTCATTTATTATTCCTGCGACAAAATTCGTCACGGGCTTCTACACCTCCAATGCAACAAAAAAAAGTACGTATGAAGTAAGTATGAACCAGGGACTTATTCCCAACCCTTTCACAGATATTCAATATTTTATATTTTAAATCCATTAGATTTCATAGTCCGATTGACCAAATAATGTCTTTCAATTAATTACTATTTATGTAAGGTATTGGTTGAGATAAAAAAATAAGAAAAAAATGGCAAAAGGAGGGAAAAGTGGGAAGGTTGAGATGGTGTCCGAGTGGATCGAAGTCACGATAGCACTAGTGGTAGAGCAGCGGTGTATTTAGCCGAAGGTCGTGGGTTCGAATCCCGGTCGTGACTGTCTTTTCTATCTCAATACCTTACATAAATATTAATTAATTGAAAAAATTTTATACTTTTTTGGAACTATCTACGGTTTTCGTAATAAATCTTCTCGTAACTCTTGAACTGTTCAGTTTTGTGGAAATAAAAAAAAATAAATAATTGAAAAGAGTGTTAATTTTCGTTTAAGAAGAAACCCTTCTAGAACTTTTTCTTCTTCTTTCATTCCTGAATTCTTTCAAAAATTATTAAATTTGTCATTAAATTTTATTAAGGTTATTACCTTAGCAACCTCGGTGAAAAAACAATTCACCCCAAAAATGAAACTAAACGCATAAACAAAAAAGAGAAAATAACATAGTTAACAACCAAAACGTTTTTTACGTTTGTTGCATTTGAGGTGCACCTGATGAACTTAGTCGTATCGTATAGTGGTTCAGTGGTTGTAATATTAAAAATAACAATATTTTGTTATACTTTTAACGTAAATCATTTCCTTGTTTTTTGTGATGGTTTGTCTCTATTTGATCAAAATGAGATAGATATAGTAATATTTATTTGAATTTAGATTTCAAAAACTTGGCATTTTTCAAGTTGAAAACCTATTTGTTAAGTTTGTATAAAGAAGGTTCCTCTATAGAGAATTTATTTTTGTTTATACTTCAATTTAATATTCTCGAAAGGAATAATAAGTATATTACATTTTCTAGTTTTTCTTTGTTATTTAAACCGTGATATCACCGAATCAAATGTGTTGGGAAGCGAGGTATTTCACGTGATCCTTCATTTCCAGGGACTTGCGCAAACCATCACGCTCTGTTTAAGGAGAGATCAAGCATCTCGTAATCCTCCCATTGTCGTCTGGCTATTGCAAATAATTAAATTTAACGTACAATATCGTACGAGTTTTTAAATATAGATTCTCGATTCAAAAAATCCTTCCTTTCTTACTATATCTGTGACACTATTTTTATTCCAGGAATGATGGCGTCCCTCAGGGAAGAATTCAGAAGAGCCCATCCACAAATAAAGACAACGACTATCCATCCATTTTTCATCACGCCACCACCATCCAGTGTAGAGCACTGGAACAAAGAGTGAGTTTATCAAAACGATTAAATTTTTATGTATTATATATAAAGATTTGCAATTATTCAAAGTTATTAATATTCAAATAGACATTTCAATCAAACTATATTGGCAAATATATTCATATTTTTTAAAATTGATTATTTATTCGAGAATTATACAGATTAAGTTAATCAGAATTTATTGTAGATGAAATGTCGGAACCTGTTTCAAACTCTAGTTGAATAATTGCTTTTTGAAAATAGTTTCTCTTGCTAAATATACTTTCTTCATTATCCAATTTATTTATCGATAATTAATTTTCACACGTTTTATATACAGAGAATTTTTTTATGGTATTGTTAGATCGAACATCATTCGTATAAACCTGGATAATCCTTTTTCAGATCGAGGATTCCTGACGTGACAGCCGGCCAAACCGCTGACATGACTGTCATGGGAATCAAAAAGGAGAAAATTACAGTCACAGTACCTGCGCATCTGTATTTCCTCTTGTTATTATTGCAGTGAGTAAAACGTCAGGTTCCATATTATTTTTCTACGCAAAGTACGCCCAGGTGCCTTTTTGATTGATAGGTTCAAATAGAAAGTCGCGAGAATGAAAACAGTCTGTTATTTCCCTGTGGGATTTTCTTTATTGTTTGCGAATCCTTTGGGTCCTGATGATATTTCGATTTGACTATTAATAAAATTAAATTTAAAGTATCGTAACTCCAAGGTAAGACGTGGTTATGTCGTAAGTGTGACGCCACCTAGGGAAAGGCCATTCAAACCTATGCCATTGAAGTCAAAAGACTCATATGGACATAAAACATACCAAGCAATTTAAATAGAGTCATAAGAATGAAATAAATTATACAAAATTTTCTCTCATTTATTCAAATTTACCATAGGACAAAGCAAAGCAATTTTGTTATCCTACTGAAAAAAAGCTGTCCTGTGTGCGGTTTTCTTTAATCCTTGATGATTTATATTACATAAAGATTAAAACAATTTCTTTATTGTTCTTAATTACTCTTAAAAATCCATCAAAATAAGTGATTATGCTTATATTTAGTAAAAAATCATTCATACATTTCGGTCTTCTTTAATGTGCCGCCATCTGGCGGTAGGAAGGATGAAACAGAAAGAAATAACTTGCTTTTATTTAATATTTTCACATCTCGTGTCGATTGAAATTATAACGGGAATTAATATTAATTGTAATTCATTAATTTTATTTTAAAATATACATATCGCTACCTTAGAAGGAATCTTTTGTGAAGGAATGATTAACAACGTGCAATCATTTGTCGAGCTTTCCGCTATATTGTATCATATTCAAGGCATGTATTCACCGCACAATTAAAATTGATGATAACGTGCAGTAATTAATATTAATTCTTAGAATAAGTAACAATAATAACTTACACTTGTAGTTGTGACAGTTTTTATGCGTAAGTTGTTACTGCGTTACATAGGTTTTAAAACTATTATTTATGGCACAATAATAACACACAAAACTAGGAAGAAACCAATTGGGGAATCTTGGATATTTACGCGACGAAAGCCAATAGTATGTTAAATCAATTGGTAAATATGGAAATGAGGTAAATGATGAAACAATAAAATGAAATTCTTGGTAATACATTCGTGCAATAAAGTTTTAGTATCTTTAACTATGGCCGCACTGCCGCTTCTTGTTTTGTTACAAGGATGATCTGTGTGATACGTTCGTCGCTCTTAATTTTTATGAAAGATGTTTTGTCATATGCGTTTTGGAGTTCAGACAAACATTCACATTATAGGATAGCAAAAAAACCTTCCAATTCCAAGTTACTATTTTGAATATTTGTTTATTCATTTTTCAACTAAATTTACCCACATAGCCAATGTGCTTCTCGGTTCGTGAGGTGGTTTCCAGCATACTTAACACACACTGTAGCTTGGTTATAATATTTATAAGTATGCTCGAATCTCTGGCACATTGAGGAATCAGATTGTTGCTCCTCAGTGCTTTGATCATCATTTTCATTTTACAAATGTATTGGTTTTCATAAATTTTGTTGATATTTTCGTTGGATTCAAAACTAAACATGAACAATGGTAAGGAATTTTCGATTTGATTAAATAAGAAAGGATCCTAAAGTGTAGCATTTCAAAGCAGTAGATAGATAGATAGACATACATTGATCTGTATATAATTAACAAAGAAATAATTGACATAAGCACCGCATGGATACAAAATCGTCTGCCGGAAGTTGTTGCCAAAATAAATTACTTTTCTTTATAATGATAATGTGTTTTTTAATAGTTTTTAATAATTTTTAATAATAAAAAATAATAATGAATAAAATAAAAAATATATAAAACCAATGGACATACTCATGAACTAACTAAAAATACAGGGGAAACTTAAGTAAAAGAGGAAACACATACAATAGTATTAAACTAACACTAGATCAGTATTTAATACACAACATGCATGGGCCTGTTAAAAAAATAATATAAAAAACTATCTAATTTTTTTACGTAAATAAAATACATAATATCATTTGAAGAAAGCAAGCGATGTTTGCTGTCACTAATTCGCTCAATAGTTGTTGCAACACTGCACTCTGTTGGTGCAGGTCAGTTGGCACGAATAGTGATCGAATAGCCTTCTCTGCAAGGCATCCCACATGTGCTCAATCGTATTGAGGTCTGGAGACAATGGGGGAAGGGGCAGATGGGAAATTCCCAGGTTTTTTTAAATATTGATGAACTACACTAAGAAATCTGGCGATGTCATCCAGAAATCGATAATCCCTGCCATCGAGATCCCTGGTTTGAGGGATATATCCTTCGATAATTCCATGGACAAAGGACTGCAGTGAGGTTGCCTTCAACAATATGGAGTACAGTTCGTCTTCTAGTGTAAGTCCCAGCCCAGACCATTACACCGCTTCTTCCAAACTGCACTGAAAGGAGCACGAACTGGGGCATTGAACGCATCTCCTCTTCCCTCTTTGGCACTATACAGGCAGAAACGCGACTCATCAGTAGACAATTGGTGTTCTCAAACAACAACATTCTCTTCTAGGCGCTCGCTGCATCATATCTCTGAGTTTCTGGTGGTGAGCTGTTGCTGCAAGTCGTCTCAAAGGGGGTATACGGTGAATACGATAAAAGGTCCCCTTAATAATTAATCATTATCGTTAATATGAGATTGAGATCCACTACCAGGCCTCCTATTGGCCCTTTCAGTCTCTCGGAATCGTGATAAAGCACGGGAGAACACGCTCTGAAAACATCAACTGCCTCTGCGATATCCACTTGCCGGTGACCTCGATGACTCTTACTTAGAATAATATTGTGAACTTCTGGTTCAAGATGATGTCTTTCCATGGTTAAATAAAATACTACTGAATTAAAATGTAGAAATGACAAGAAAAGGTGTTTGTTCATAAAATAAGTAATCTTCATGTTTGAAATTCTGCAAGGAGTGAATGGAATGGTAAAAATAACAGTGAAACCGATAATAAATAACAAATAAATAATAATGAATAGAAATATGTAAAACATTAATTGATTATCGGAACGTATGAGATTGGACGAGCTGTATTAATCAATTTAATAACTACTTGCACCGATATCCACTGAAGCTGACAAATTCACCCGAACCCTGGAGAGTCAATTGTGACTAATCAGGTTAATTAATCAGTAATTCGATCAATTGGCCTTTAGCGACCAGAATGTGGAAATCCGAAAATCAGACGGTGAAAACGCAAATTAACTTAAAAGCTACAACCCGCCTTCAATATAATTTCTTAAAAATCGAAATGAGACCCCAACCGGAGAAAATTGAAACAATATTTTTCTTACAAATAAGAGCACGTTCTAACAATTGAGACATAATAAAATATTGCATGTACAAAATTAAATTTCTTTATAGAAAAAAATTATTCTTTCATCCCGTAAACTCCTTTGCTGCCTTAACATTAAAAATAACGTGGGCCATACTATAAAATTACATATTACATATTAATACAGCAAACGACACATTTCACAGTAAGAAAATATTTATAATAGTACAAATTGTAATCGACCAAGCCTGGTTTGTAAAAACATGAATTCAATTATATGACACTTATTGCGCCATAGATAATAATTACAAAATGTAATTAAAACATTATTTTGGAATAACTACAAAACAACTCGATAATTCATAATGGCAAGGCTAAATTATTTACGATATTTTCGAAATATGGAGATTACTAATAATCGAATGTAAAAATGAAAGTAATATTCGAATTAATTAAGTTTTTAAAAGTTTTTGTAACGTGTGCACGTTCCCAAGACATTGTGGTAATAAAATTCTAATTGACCAACGATGTACCGCAATCCTGGAAACCTCTTGCAAAACATGTGCACTCAGAATTCATTGTATTTTCTCATAAACTATGGAATCGTGTTAACAGGTCGCCACAATTATTTAAACTCCTGAAGAATCATTCACATGAAATAGTTATGTTGTAATAAATATTCACACACCAGTCAGTTGCAAAACCTTTTGGGAAGCGATTCATAATGTAAAATGTTCACTTTTTTCTTTGTAATATACATATTACAAAAAGTTTTGAAAAATATCTCAAAAAAATATTCACACTCGTTTTTTCATCAAATGCATTCTCTTAATGTTAGGAGTACCGTTTACATCAAAACATGCTTGGGTATTAATTTAACAAAAAAATGTTTCAAAAAAGAAGGAATCTTATGAAGATTGATACCAAATTTATCAGAGTTTTTTATGTGATCCATAATTTCCTGTTATACGACCAGGATATTTTTTAAAGTTCAACAATGTCGTTTGGAGGAATACAAATGTTTGCTAAATTTTGTTAACAATTTTTTCAAGTAAGGTATTGGCTGTGATAAAAAAAGTCAGTGCCACAAGCGGGATTCGAACTTTATCTCAACCGATTCCTTAATTAAAAAGATTAATTAATTGAAAAGTCTTTATTTGGTCAATCGGGCACGAAACCTAATCGATTTAATAAGGAAAATGAAGTCTACTTAGCTCTCCGTGGCTATTTCATTTGTCGCCCAGAATCATATAGAATACACATTTTAAAAATGGCAAAAAGGAGGGAAAATTCGAAAGGTGTGGTTGAGATGGGAAGTTGGTCTCCGAGTGGATCGAAGTCGGGATAGCTTAAGTGGTAGAGCAGCGGCGTATTTAGGCGAAGGCCGTGGGTTCGAATCCCGCTCGTAACACTGACTTTTTTATCTCACCTAATACATAACTTTAAAAAATTAATTAATTGAAAAGTATTTATTTGGTCAACCGGACCACGAAACCTAACAGATTTGTTAACAATATATAACAATAAAAACGAACAAGTGGGATCTTTCAGTTTATTATTTTTCCTTACATGTGTACGTTTTACAAAGAGGTGCATAACTGGTTGTTTTGAGTACCTATCGTGTATAAAGAGGGATTATATTTATGAATGTGTAGCATTAGAGGGCTGATGGTGAAAAACTGATTACCCATCGTCCCTCAATTAGGTTAGTTATATAGTAGGTGTAAAGGGTGATGGAGCAATATCAAGTATCACCCTAATTGAGTGAATGGTTCGTAAATAGTAAAGAAGGTATTTAAGAATGAGTGAGATTGCGAATGGGTTTGGATCTAGAAACTGTATGCGTTGGGCGCTGAATTTACCTAGCTGTTGACACACCTTCTGCACAACATCGGCGGTTGAAAGGTCCCCAGACTACAAACCACCCGTGGTAAGTGATTCTCAAGACCTGCCCGTAATCGTTGTAAATAACAAAAGCTGGAATTGCCGGTGGACGGTAAAGAGTGATAGGTTCATGAACATATGTGAATGTAAGGGCAGATTTGAGCTTATACAAATCCAAATCCAATCGTACCTAGTCCTTTTCTCTTTACTATGTTTTCGATTTTGACATTAAAAAAAGAGTATTGATTGCATTCTACACGATCGCTTATTTCAAATATGAATCTTTACATGTATATTTAAATGTCACTCTCTGTTCCTCATTAAATTTTAAAATTTATTAACAAATAACAACAAAAGGGTTCTTAAAAAATTAAAGTTTTCAAGAGAATAAAACACTTATTAAATACACTTATAAAACTAGATAAAAGTTTGTTTTGTAACAATAACAACAGATTTACAAAATGATAAACAATAGTATATTTCTTAGTGGTAACCTACTATCACATTTATTATAAATTACATTGACTGTTAAATTTAAATATTATACATTGTTAAAATCTCAAATTACTAAATCATATTCATGAATTTATCAAGTTGAGCTCCTGAATACCAGCACTTTTTGTAAGCCTTCTCGCACGCTCCATTCGTGCCATTTTTCCTTCCGAGCTCTTCAGCTTTCTTCCACTCGCCGTTTATATCCAGCCAGCTGAACGCCCTGCGGGGAACAAAATGAGAAAAAGTTAACAACGTTCATTTTTAAAGAAGAAAACGAAAAACATCACATAGAAGGCGTATTTGCTAGCCCTTTGTCCGATTGGGTTGTGTTAGTAACAGGGTATTGTCACTTTTGAGACTCACTTTGCTACCTCCCTTAAGTATTAATAGGATCCTTGTTGATTCGGTTTTACTTTTATTTGTAAGATGAGAAAGAAAGAAATTTATAAAAAAATAAATTTTTAAAGTCCACATTTATTTAAAATGCAATAAATGTCAACATTAACACAAAATTAATACTTCAAGTCGAAAAAAAATTCTATATTTTAATTAATATTAGATTTTGTTTAAAATGAGAGCAATGAGCAACTAATGGAAGGTTACAGACAAATTTTTCATCTCAACCGAGGTTTTACATAAAAAGAATAATTAATTGAAAGAAGTAATTTGGTCAATTAGACCAATAAAACATAATGGATTTAATAAGTAAAAAAAGTATGACTTCACTAAGAGCTCCTGTGGCCATTTCCTTTGTCGCCGAGAATCGAATCCTGATTTCACGACATTTGAAAATGGCAAAAAGAGGGACAATTCGAAAAGTTGTATTTTTTCTATTCTATAAACATCAGATTTTAAATAAACTGTAAAGTTAAAACAAAGTTATGAGAAAAGTGGCAAAATGCCATGCTCAATTGCTGCAGGATGAAAAAAAATTACAACATTCATTTTCCATCTCAACAAATCAATATAATTTGTACATGTTTATGAAATTAAAGTCCGGAAAAATATAAAATTGCAGGAGAATATTTATTATTAATTATTTACTACTTATATTCGCATATTATGTTTGATCAAACAGCATACAAAAACAATTTTGAGGAAAATAATTCACTTACGTTCCATACTTTCCAAATATTTAGAAGTATTTACAACATTATTGTATTTTTTGTGAATATAGTCTCTATTTTTTCTTCGTATTTTGCTTTATCGATCATTTTAATTACGTTATTCGTTTGGTCTACTTTTGAATGGGTCGTTGTTTAAAAAACGTAATGCTTAACTCCTGAGATGTTTCAGCATATTTTGTGCCATAATGATGCAACATATTTTTTAACACGGATATGTTTTTCCGCTGGATGCAAAATTTTTTGCGTAAGCATTTTTCGTTACCAGGAAGTGAATGGGTTGGGTTAGGTTAGGAATAGTTGAGTTATGTAGGATTAAGTTAGGTTAAGTGTTGTTTGGTAGGGATGGTGACGGGTTAGGTTAGATCGATTGTCAGTACATATGAGATTGCAATAATTAATCAATTTAATAACTGCTGCAACATATTATTCATTGAAGCGGTCGAATTCAGCCGAACACTTAAGGGTTAATTGTAATTACTCATGTTAAATAAAAAGTAATTGTATCAACTAACTTTCAATGGTTAGAATAATTTTTCTAATTTTTCATCTCAACCAAAAACCTTATATTAAAATAAAAATTGGTATAATTAAATTGTAAATGAATTAAAGAAAAATAATTTATTTATTCACAATCAGAAGTCTTTTTTGAGGATTGGCTGATGAAAGGCTCGAAATATGGCAAGAGATGCATGTATAATTTGTTTTTCAATAAAACACAAACAAAACACAGCACATAAAAAAAGTTTACTTTACTGATCAATCTATTCTATTCTAATAATAGAAACGTATAATTACTACTTCGCAATATAATTATTTGTGTCAGAAAAATCATAAAATGAATAAATGGAAACTGACTTTTACAGGATAAAATGTTAATTTTACAGGTGAAAGTTGGGTAAATTTATTTCTGCCTTCTTTTTTTTTTATCCTTTTATATTGTTGTTCTAACACTTCTTTATTGCTTTTTTACAGAATGTTGCCATCTGCCGCCGGTGAACTTTGGCGGGACATGTTCTACGCCAATATCAACTCTCTGGACAAAAAAATTAAAGCGTGATGAAACTTGATGGGTGTTATTAATTTTTTTCGTTGCATCATTTTTCGAAATTATCTTCACGACTTCTCAACCAGGTTCTTCGGGACATTGGTTTTAATTGGTTTCGCCATATCGACGCTAAGCCGGTGGGATGTCGTGAAACCAAAAAGAATTTAAACAGTGTAAATAGTTATTTGTTGTAAATAAATCAAAATACAGCTTTTCCGGCAGAATTGATCAAAAGAATAGTTGCACATCTAGATTTTCGAAGTTTTGCGTATTTATTTCGTTTAAAAACGCGAATTTGGTTTGACCGGTTATCCTCCTCAGAGTCACACCTTTTTAGTTGTTTTAATATTAAAAAATTAGAAAATTAAGCTCGTAGTGTTTAAAAATTTAAAATTTTAATCAAAAATCTTTATACAACTTTATAATCAAAAGATTTCTTTTCTAAAATTATGATATTTGCTCAAATAAAAAGAGTGCTTTATGTATTAGTATGTGAGAGTGGTAACCCATTTTTGTTTTCGATAATATTAATGGGTTCCCTTTTATGTGTTATGTATATACATATGTTTAAATATAGTACAATGGTTTCAAAAAGGTTTATATTTTATAATGCCTATTCTTGTTTAGACTTTTATTTTTACTTAAAGGTCGTTTATGGGATTTAGGAGCTTTGGGAAGAAACTGTCAGGTAAGTTTCATTGCATCACAAAATTCAGATATTACAAAAAAATTCAAATCAAAATACTCAATAGAGCAGAGTTGGAGATGCCGACTACTACTAGTATACAGGTGGCTCCAAGACCAAGTATGTGTTAATTTCTTGTATCTATGGAAATAATCTAAGAACTAGAATTACCTTTGGTAATATGCCACCGTATGGTGTGCCATCAAAAGACTAAATACCAACAAAAGAATTGCCATCTACTCAGTCAACCGGATGGCACTAATAGGTATTATCCCAAAGTCCAGAGTCGTAGGGCAAAGGGAAGGCCGATAAATTTGCCAATGGATATTCAGTTAGGACCCCTATCAGCCCTGAACCCTTTTGTGGCATACTAAATTGCCAAAAGTGTACCTCCAACAGAGATTTAAGAATAAGTTTTCAGTTCAATGAGATGAGCATCCGATATGACCAACGTGGGGATAGTATGATAGTTGAATGGACATTGCAAACTCCGGAGGAATATGCATAGAGTCAGGGCAGCAGAAAGAAGCCTGTGCACATATTGACAGGAAAAAGACAAAAAAGCGTAATATGTTTTGTGATGGGGCGAAGGTGATTCTTATTCTTCGGAGAGGAAACCCCATTGCCTGAAAGATATTGGACATACGGGAGCCCTTATAAAGCTTTGGGGTAAAAATTCTTCAGCGTGATGAAGAGAACTGTTCAATGATATAGAAATTGTACATTAGACTAATAGTCGTCACAAAATTGTGAAGAAGCAGAGCTAACACCAACTGCATGTAATTTCAGTTCACATTAAACTTTTTATGATTGATGGGTTGATCTTAAAAAAAAAACTACTTCTAGTAAGTTAAAATCGAAAAGATTATTAAAGATGGGGTTTGACAAACAAAAAAAGTACCATTTTTCTCTTTTGCTTACTAAACCTTCAATACCTCTTCTCACAAAGCCGGGTTTTTTACACTATTTAGATCAATAATTTGTACCTTAATGTAAAATTAAAAGTTTTCTCTATAAGGTTCATTTTCATATTACAAATACATATTAGATTTTGGTACAGGTGTAATGAGCTTAGAAATTATTTTCAACAAATAATCCGTTTATGTTAACATTCATTCAGAAAATGTAATTAGAAAGAAATTTCTTATTTTATAACAGTTACACGCGAAACAAGGAGTCTAAATGGATTTTTCCATTCATTCCTCGTCCATGTAATATATAATTAACAAAAATAGATTCATTGGTTTAATTAAGGGAGGGAACTTGTAAGCCTTGCAAGTCCTGATTAAATCTAATGGCTAAAATTTTGGCTTGTAAAAATACCACTAATTCTAATTAATTACGAATCACGACGGTCATAATTCAGACACAACTATTTTCATTCTTGATGAGACGATGGCAAATCGATACACGAAATGACAAGAACATCAGCGGTCATGGTAGGAATGAAAGCCCATCTCCATCGCTTTAATACTTTACACAGTCCTTCCCGTCGATACCCACATAACTCTTAAACTTTAGAGTATATAATTGTGTACTGCCCTCTGTTGGATTAAATGAGCTTGTGAGTGAATTTTCGTTTTATTTGAAATTTGCAAACTACAAGCAAAAATCATTTTCGTTGAGAAGTATAATTAAAGATAGATGGATGAATGGGAAGGACAGTATGTTACCCAGAAGTAACGTCACCAATCTAGGACTTTAAGATAAGGTGATAGGTGGTGAGGGGCCTGTTTGGGAGTTTACACAGCATCCCAGCCGTCAGACCCAAATAATAGCACAAGTCGAGAAAGAACGCGATGGCATTGTTGAACTGATGATGAAGGGTTTAATGAAGGGAACCAATTATCGAATAAAGAGGTCGTATGAGGAGTTTTTCAAAGATCTTTCCCATTTAAGGAGAAAAGGCTTATAAGACGATAGGAGTTGATGTGTGCAATGGTTTATTGATCGTCATTCTGATAATGGAGAAAAATTTCCATTGGGTTGGGAAATACGTGGGTTTGGGACGAGGTTGGATAGATAAGGTAGACAAGGTCACTTTAAGAATTTGGCGGAGGATATTTGCTGCGATTAAGTCATATTTGGGGGCTTGTTTACAAGAAAGTTTGCTAATAATGCATATGACATCGTTCAAATGGTAGAGGTCTGTCTAGTTCGGCTTGGTCTTGGTAAATATGACTGTATACTATTGGTAAGTATGCTTTTATACTTGCTCAGAGCGGCTTTTATTGGGTTGTCCGAAAAATATCGCAGGTGAGTGGTTATAAAATAAAATCAATTAAATAAATGATTTGAAATTTTTTTATTAATTAAAATAATCCCATCACTCTCAATACATTACTCCCAAAGTGATAGCAATTTCTCTATACTTGGAATAGAATTTTGAGTCTTTATAAAGTAAATCATCAAGTTCGAGTATAATTTTATTTTTCCTCCTTCTCTTCCGATTTTTCGAGTGATTGTAACGAAGATTTTCTAACAAATTTTGATCAATAAATTTTTTATGTTGTCAAACGTTGCCAAGGTGTTGGAAAAATGGTAGTCGGTAGGTGAGAGGTCGGGAGAATACGGAAAGTGAGGCAGAATCTCATAACTAAGATCCAACAGATTTTCTGTTGTCACATTTGAGTAATGGGGCTAAAACATAATCGGCCTTTTCCCATTGACCAATAATGCCAATTTCTTGTGCATTACTTCAATTTGAAAGCAATACATTTCGGCATTGATTGTTTCGCCTGGAATCAAGAAGCTGTAGTAAATCTGCCTAAAAGAAGCCCACCAAAGTCACCATCACCTTTTATTGATGAGTTGGGGCTTTGAAAAATGTGGTGTTGCTTCTCCTTGATCAAATCACAATTCAGAACTTCTACTGTTATCTTAGCAAATTCCCTTTCATCACAATTAACAATTCTATACAAAAAAAATTCGTTTCTGTTTCGGCAAAGAAGAGTTATGCAAGATTCATAACGAAGATTTTTTGGCGGTCGTTTAATGCATGAGGAACCCAATTTTCGAGCTTTTTCACCTTTCCAGTTGACTTAAGGTGGTCAGCGACGGTCGATTTTTTATCTGAAATTTGCATCTGCAAGTCCTCCAACAGTTGTTCTGAGAATTTTTTCTACCAAAGCTCGCAGAACACCAACTTTGTGAATTTTGTCTTCGAAGCTATTCTCCCTTCTAAATTTTTGCTCCAATGGTGCTCTCCCTCACACGGTCTTTATTACTCAACTTAATTAATGTTTCTGGCCGTTTGGCCACTGTTCCGATCGAGTTTATACTCGTAAAACTAAATTACGCGAAAATCACGCCTTGACTAGTAAAGTCTGAAATATTCCCAAATAACGAAATCCTACTGAGGTAAACAAACATTTTTGTTTGGAAGACGATTAAAAGTGTTGACATTCGTGAAAAGAATAATCCAAACGTAAACAGTTGACTATGTAGAACGGCAATTGAAAGAAAACATGAAAACCTGCATTATTCTTCGGACAACCCAATACTCTTCGTTCTAAACGGTTGAGTTCTCGTTTAAGCGAAAGGAGACACAGGTTAGGATCCAAGAGTCCCTCGAGACTAAAAGTGGTCTGACTTCATTTCATAGTAGTTTTCATAGTAGTATATAAGAACAGATGTAACCAAACAGTTTATATTACTAGATGCTTTGATCGACTGTCATATGCTTGCAACGTGACTCCTTTTTTTCTATGTTATTTGTTATATAATATGTATATAGATCTCTTTTTTATTTTAATGTATTTTTAATTATACGGTTGTAGTACCCTATTTTTTACTTATATGTTATTATTACACATAATCGATAAACGATCCATGAAGTAGTGGTAGTAGTAATATATTTATTGGCAAATTACATAGGACATAGGTACTACATAAATTTATAATTTGGGAGAAAACTAGCCAGGCTCTGTACATCCTAAAGCAATCATCCGAAAATTGAAATAATTTAGGTATAATTGTAGAAACCTCAGATTCGCTTAGTGGGGAAAAAGTTTACAAAAAACCTCTAATCATCTAAGTTGACTCATATTTGGCAATTAAACCCATTTTGCGGGAATTTAGTAAGTGTTGTCTAATAATAAATAATAATAATAAATGTTAAATATAATCCAAAACATCTAAAAATAACAATACGGTAAAGTGTAAAACATAAAAAACAATAAAACATAAACAGCAATAAAATAATAACAAATAAAAATAACTAACTAAATAAATTTAAATAAATATGGCATCTAAAATAATGGCAAAGTATAAATATCACATGTAATAACACACAACGGGGCGTCGGTGGCCGCAACGGTTTAGACGCTCATTACTGTAAGGTAAAGGTCCCGGGTTCGAATCCAGCGGCCCTGCATTGCAAGCGCTTATATCATTAAGGAGTCTGATATTTTTCACCGGTAAAAGTTACATACTTTCTCATTGTCTTTACATTATTTCCACGAAACTGTGGTATATCTCCCTGCTGATCTGCAGATTGCGTTTTGGCTCATAGAGAGACGTGCAAAAATTGTTTCGTGCTCACAACTATGACGTCGCGGCATGTATTGAAGGACTCCAACTATGGAGCAGAATAGGAAAAATAGTCATTTTCGGCAAGGGTAATGTTTGTAAGACGATCTATATGACGATAACGCTAATGTTATTATTATTACTACTATTCAAGGCATCCAAACCATCATACAGCACATATATATAGCTGTAAATAAGGGGCAACGGTGGCTTGGGAGACGTTTGTTCTACGCTAGCCGTTCTGGGTTCGAACCCGACACAACCCATATATTTTTAATTGTGAAAAATATGTAGATAGTACTTTAAAATGGTTAGACCCCTTCCACGACACCCAACGAATCGATGATAAACGTTAAGGAATTACAGTTTACTTACTTCATGACTGCAAACAAAATAAAATTTTATATAAAAAAAATGTATAGTTTTACCCAATTACCTTAGAAGAAATAAAACGTTGTCCTGCGTCCTGGAACGTTTTTGTTTCGATTGGATGTGACAGACATATTTCCTGGCACATCCGACCGGGTCGTTGTTTAGGACCTGTCGCATTTCCTTCGTGTCGTTCGCCAGCCTCTCGACGACCCACTGGAAAACAAAGAGACCGTTCAGAATGGAAGCAAAGCGAGAAACGCCCCGCTATGAGGTAAGTTGACAACCGGATCCTGTTCTAGTTTAAGGCCAAATAAAGCAGGAAGACGGGAAAGCTGTAACCTACGGTTTACATCACTTATCTTCCCTTATAAGAAACATAAGGGCACCCAGGCTGGATTTGACAGCACTTTCATGCAAATCGCGAGACAAGTACTTTCTCCGTCTTCTTTAGATTTTACAACATCCTTTTATGTCTTACGTGACTTAATTTGGTACTTTAATAAATATGTATATATACGCATTATACATAACGTTCCATTTATCTTAAAGCTTATCGTTTGCTTACGATCTCATTATTACATTACAACTCATTACAACTTATTGCAAAACTCTCCAAAAGGCGTTGTATTATTTGATGGCCGCTAAGATTTTTAAGTATTTTGTGTGGTGTTTAGTGACCGTTAGTCAGATGTCCCGTAATAGATCAATCTCCGATTATTTGGAGATCTTGAGATGCGGTCTGGTATAGCGTAGGTTTTAGAAAAATATTTTCTTTTTCGTGATAACGTTTAGATCTTTATTAAGATCATCTTCTTAGCCTGGGATTTATAAACGATGTTTAAATTATACAAATATATGAAGGATGTGAAAAAAATGAATTTATACAATGCTAGAAAATTTGAGATTTAAAAAAAATGAATTTATACATTGCTAAAAAATTTTACATTAAAAAAATGAATTTATACAATGCTAGAAAATTTTACATTAAAAAAATGAATTTATACAATGCTAGAAAATTTTAGATAAAAAAATGGATTTATACAATGCTAGAAAATTTTAGATAATAAAATGAATTATACAATGCTAGAAAATTTTAGATTAAAAAAAATGAATTTATGCTATGCTAGAAAATTTTAGATTTAAAAAAATGAATTTATACAATGCTAGAAAATTTTAGATTTAAAAAAAATGAATTTATACAATGCTAGAAAAATTTTTTTGTATGATTGTGTTGATGATATGTTGTGTACTGTGGAGGGATATTTTGTGTAGTGCTGGGTTATAATTGTTTATGATTCTTTTGGCTATGTTTTAGGGTAGTTATTGTTATGACAGATTTGTTTGTATGTTTGTATATTTTTAGGTGAAAGGATTCATGACTTAGAGATATGATTACGTGTAATAATCCTCTAGCCGTGTTTAATATTGTGTGGAGAGGGTGGTGTGGTGTATAATTGAGGTAATCGGTGTTCATTGTTTTGGTACCAATTTGTAATTAGTGTCTCATTACGAGTTTGTAAGCGTACTAGCTAATTGTAAGCGAGGATAAAAGTTTTAAATGTGTTTAATGGTTTTTGCATTTGATCTGATGGTACTGCTTTTAGAATGTCATCAATGTATTTGGTGAGAAAGAAAAGATACACACATTGTGATAAATTTTGAAAAACTAATTAAAAATAAATAAGTTATCGTAACCTAAAATAAAACCCTGGGCAGGAAATAAATTCTGACCTCTGTAAATAAATAAACAGATTTTTTGGGATGCATTAATATACAAAAGCTCTTCTTACGAGGAAATAAAATTGAGTTTGCTCTTTTACTTAATGAATTTGTATATACAATTTTTCCTCTTCTTCTTTTCTTCTTCGTATTACTTTTATATGTTAATGAGCTTTTTCCATCTTTCTTTGCCCCAATCTGCTACTTCACAGCGAACCCCTTCTGGATTTCGTCTCACCACCTCTTATTTGGTTTTCCTCTTTTCCTTTCTCCTTAGCTCGAAGTCCATTCAGTCCTAATTTTTGCCCATCTCGTGTATTTCATGCGGACTATATGGCCTGCCTAGTTTTATTTTTTTGAATGTGCTTAGGAAAGCGATGGAAGTGTATGAAGTGTATGTTGTTTCTTTATAAATTGTCTTTGCATGATTTTTGGTCCATCTTCTCTGTCAGTGGTCATGTTCCATATAGTGGAACTGGGTATACGCATTTAATAAGAACGACCCCTCACTCTTGCTTGGATATTTCTTTTAGAAACCGTTGTGCGGGGCCATTATTTCTTCCAGCTGGACGCTTCACTGATTTCCAGTTAATTCTTTGAGACTCCTTTTTTTTTAAGCGTAGGATTTGGCCAAGGTACTTAGATTCCTTTGCATATTCTATCTCTTTTTCTCTGACATTCGCTATCTCTTCTGTTCTGTTTGCCACGACTTTTCCTATTTTAGTTTATCAAATGCATCACGGAGTACTGCGTCCAAAAATATTGGTGGTAATGGGCATCCCGGACGAAATCCTTTTTTAATTCTAAAATTTCTCCCTTTTCTATCGCTTTCGACGAATTTCATAATATCTGAGTATAACTCTTTTAGAAGATTTTCCATTTTGTGTTGGTGTTGCATATCTTGGAAATGAATACCTGATCATCGTTTTCTCCTATATGTTTTCTTTATCTGTCTGTTTTTCAGAACCGTTGTAAATACTTTGTACTTGATTGCCATGTTGACCTATAGTTTTTTTTACTTCAATTCTACTTCCGCTTTTATGAAAATAGTAATTGAGACTGACCTCTATAAATAAGAAGTAAAATACATTGACACTAACATTTTAACGACAAAGGGGATGCCATTCTAAATTCTTTGGGGCCCAGTTTGTTAAAAATTTATCTTTTTAAGAGATTATCTTCTCTCTGGCTCTTTGGAACGATGAATAATTCTTATGTAAATGCAGGAAGGGTCGGACAACGATGCTCTTGAGAAAGTACATAAACATCTTGCTCTGCGTCTCACATGTAAATTTCACGATAAAAGAAATGATATATTTATTCTTTTAGATAGTTTTTATTTTTAAATTTATAATTCTCAAATAATATTACTTGGAATAGTTGGATTAAAGATATTTCCATCGATACTAGTTATCAGTCTTCAATATTGTAATTTTATTTTCCGGCGTTCTCAGTGGCCGAGTGGTCAGGGCGTCTAACACGTCCGTATTTACCACTCTAATAAATCGGTATTCGTATTCCGGCATAATTCATGAAATTTTAATTTATAATAAACTGAAAAAAATAATTTTTGTAAAGTCGCTTGTCCTTCAACAACCGACATCCAATACTGTGTACCAGGATTATTTTACTTAATAGATTTCACTATGCGACCTGTAGTACAATTTTTTTGAGACTAAAAACCTTAAAAAATACTATAAAATGAGATTTACAATAAGGTCAAGTTAAAGTATCAGAACACCTCATACTATAAAGGAACCGAACAAATCCCGATATCTTTCTTCAATTTCCTTCCCTCGTTGTATGTACCTTCCTACATCCGGAATGTACAAAAGCTTATTAAAAAAAATAATAATAATAAAAATAAAGTACAATATATTATAAATATATTAATGTAATCAAATGTAATACTAACGTTAGGTACTTGTTGTGCATCACCGATCGACCTCTTCCCCCTGCTCAAGCCGGCTAGACTGCTGAGGAGGCTCCCCTGCCCGGGCCTGAAGGAATTGTTGATGTGCTGGAAGTCCTGGACCAGTAGATGGAGCATGTAGAGCCCGGCGAGGCCGAGTGCCAATAGCAAAAGCAGCCTTATGTGCGCTTTGACGATCGCGAGAAAGAGTACCGTCAACAGCCAAATCCACAAAGGTCTATCTCGCATCCTACATAAAGGAAAATCAACTCTTTGAACTTTATGTTGAAAGGATTTTCATTAAAACAATATGGATCTGTACATAATTATATAGAAACTTTCATCTGAAACGACAATGTACAATTAACAAAAGCTTTTCTACCGTGCAATTATGTACACATAATTTCGCATAACATTTCCACGATTTGGAAGATCAAAGAAACTTTCTATCTTTTGGTAAATTAACAGAAATTAACAAAGAAATGGTTTCAATAGTAAAATGTATTTATTTTACTTTATTTTAAAAAAGTTTGCTTTGGTTTACTATATTTCGTTTCTTAGGTGAATTTTTCATACAAATTCTGTCCGCTTTCATGTTTTTATCGTAGTTTCCCAATATCGTCCTGGTTTCATTAACGTACGTTTCCGTTTATATTTTTGGAATTGAGTAGAACTGTGCAGGGCCTTTAGTACAAACATGCAGCTTTAACATATGTTTGGGTATTCTTTCTTGTATAATTGTCAGTCTGGTGTGACCTATTCCTAGTTTAGTCAACTGGTTACCATCACGCTTTGCTAAAGTTTTAGTAGCACTAGGTGTAATTATTATTAATTAAATAAATTACAATTAGCAAATATTAATAAGTTTATGCAACAAAAAAAAAAATTAAAACTGTAAAACTTAAATTGTTTACAATTTACTAAAGATCCGTAACCATTTGATGCAAGGATTTTAGTAGCACTAGGTAATCATCATTAAATAGTGCAGTGCTATAAAATTAAAATTTACAAACAAAAATCCATTTAAAAACCATAACTATCCTTAGATTTACAGGTCTTTTGTAAGAAAAAAGTTTTATCAAAAATTCACTAGTTTTCATGGTCCTCTTGACCAATTAATATCGTTCAATTAATTAAGGTTTTTAGTTGAGTTAAAAAAGTCAGTGTCACGAGCGGGATTCGAACCCACGACCTTCGGCTAATACCCTCCTGCTCTATCACTTGAGCTATCGTGACTTGAAATAAAATTGAGTTTGCTCTTTTACTTAATGAATTTATTTATACAATTTTTCCTCTTCTTCTTTTCTTCTTCGTTTTTCTTTTACATGTTCATGACCGTTTGCCATCTTTCTTTGCCTCTATCTGCTACTTCAAAGCGAACTCCTTCTGGATTTCTTCTCACCACCTCTTATTTGATAATCCTCTTTTCCTTTCTCCTTAAACCTCGAAGTCCATTTAGTCCTAATTTTTGCTCATCTCGTGCATTTTATGCGGGCTATATGGCCTGTTCAGTTTTATTTTTTCGAATGTGCTTAGGAAAACGATGGAAGTGTATGAAATGTATGTTGTTTCTTTATAAATTGTCTTTGCATGATTTTGGTCCATCTTCTCTGTCAGTGGCCATGTTCCGTATAGTGGAGCTGGGTATACGCATTTAATAAGAACTGGACCCCTCACTCGATTTCTTTTAAAAACCGTTTTACGGGACCAATATTTCTTCCAATTGGATTTTAGTAGCACTAGGTAATCATCATGAAATAGTACAGTGCTATAAAATTAAAATTTACAAACGAAATCCATTTAAAAACCATAACTATCCTTAGATTTACAAGTCTTTTGTAAGAAAAAAGTTTTATCAAAAATTGACTAGTTTTCCTGGCCCGCTTGACCAATTAATATCTTTCAAGTAATTAAGGCTTTTAGTTGAGATAAAAAAGTCAGTGTCACGAGCGGGATTCGAACGCACGATCTTCGGCTAAATACGCCGATGCTCTACCACTTGAGCTATCGTGACTTCGATCAACTTAAAATGACAAAACGGAGGGAAAATTCAAAAGGTGGGGTTGAGATGGGAAGTTAGTGCCCGAGTGGATCGAAGCCAAGATAGCGTGGTAGAGCAGCGGCGTATCTAGCCGAAGGTCGTGGGTTCGAATCCCGCTCGTGACACTGACTTTTTTATCTCAACTAAAATTGTAGTTGTTATTTCATGATAGTTTATTTGTGTGTATAGTTGCAAGATACCAACGATTGAACTTGCTTTAATATTAAAAACAACATATAGATGCAGATATACTGATGTCTCGAAGAGATCCGACAATTGGAAAAACGTTCCAGAAATGCCATTTAAATACAATATCCATAATATTTGATCTTGCGTACCTTTTTAGTGTTACTGATACTTTTACACTATTTATATTAAGAATAAAGAAAATCAGTTCAATTTCAACCTTTTCAGTGCCAACTTGTCAGTATGATAATCGATTTTTAAATTGTTTCCTTTGACAAATAAAAAATTAATTATTACTTTTGTCTTTAAAAGCATGGTTTTAAGTTGAAAGATCTCGTCGTACCGTCTGTTATATAGCCCAAGTCCTGGGTGCGCCACGCTCTGCTATCCACGGCGGTCTACGGTGGTTTAGCGCCACCAGAGTTTTGATCGAAGATGTTCGTCTCTTACCGCACTATGGAACGGTCATTTATCGGCTTGCTTGACGGTGAACACCAAAACAGTCATCAGAAGGCATAGAATAGCCTAGTCTCTAAATGTCCCTCACCAAGTTCTCTTCTTTTGGAGAAACATCGAGTAGAAAGACATTCGCAGATCATCATCTCACTTAGACACTTGAACTCTCTTCAACTCTCTTCTCTTCACAGAAGAGCGCCGGTTTTGTTTGGGGCAAACAGATGACCGGGACCATCTGTAGAGAAGAAGTGGAGAACGCTGACGCTTACGTGAGATCCAGCCTTTTCTGAGACAGTCAATTATGGTTAGACGTGGAAGCAACGTCCATGTCCGCACCGAACTTATTACCTTTGACAGCACTAAGGTACATTAAGGAAATTATTCTGGAAGCTGTGATCTCATTTGCTCCATTTATTGGAAATAACTTCATGTTAATGCATGATAAATACAAATAAAAATACATTTAGTTTGAAATAAAGAACAAACTACGACTGCTCGGTTATTTTATTTATTTATTTTTGTCTTTGGAGTGTATTTAGGTCTGATTTATTTAATTATCGGATATGAAGAATAAATAATTCATCATCTAATTCTCTGGACGATCTGATGGAGCTCTTTTTTTATTTTTATTTTTTTTAAGTCAATTTATCATCGTTATTGTTGGGGTGGGCGACACTGACACTTTTTCTAAGTCCTGTCAACCTTTTCCTAACAAATCTTTTATTAAGTGTGAAAGCAATTTTCAAACTTTATATATAGTAAGATAGTGACTGGATATAAAATATCAAGTTAGTGTTTTGATCGGCAAATAAGATAATCCGTGAATATATTTAAAATAACCTTACTTCTTTAAGAATTGTATAAAATCTTGAAAGTTATGCAAGCAAGCGTTGGAAAGCCTTGACCTCTAGGTCTAAACTTGTATTCACCTGGCGAAGAGCAGGAAGCTGCTTTCGCTTTTTCAACTGTTGACCGTGGAACCTGTTCTGGATTCGGTAGAAAGGAAAAGTTTCTGCGTACATATTACTATTACCACTGTAACGGGTTCGTACTAGAGCCCTTTCTCCGAATCCGGGAATTTTGTCTGTAATTAAATCGACTTTGACAAATGACACACTGGAGTGACAAGCGGGCCCGGGAGGAAAACCGCTACCATGCGTTAAGCGGAAATCCGTCTGACGGAAGCTAACAACGAAAAAAGACGGATTGATGAACTGTATATCGAACATATAAAACACAATAGATATTTGAAAAATTACAGTGGCATCTGATATAAAAAGAAAACTCGGCCCTTCGGGCCTCGCCAGGGGGGAGCCCCCTGGACCCCCGGATGATTTTGTTTTGAGCCGACGGCTAAAATTCAGAAAACATGGAACATGTTTTAGCCGCGCAGAATTAATGTAGGTAATTGTGAATAAAGAAAGAAACTGTAAAACGTAAAACAGATGAAATTTATTTTATTATTCTTGTTCAACACAATCGTTAGAAGAAGTAATGGACAATATGGGTTTATGATAACTGAAATAACTTATATAATTTTTAGAATCAATTTTATCTATGTTGCGAGCGAAGACTAAATCGATGCACGATCCACCACGGGTAGTTGATAATGCTGGATTCGTTATGAGATGCAGTCCGAATGTCTTTTCCATGAAACTGATTAAATGTTGGTTTTCTTTCTTCTTCATATCTAAGTTGATATCACCAGATAGAATAATTAGGATTTCTCCGTAGCCTCTTTCTTCAATAAGTTCAAACATTTCTGATGCTTTTGGTGCGTACTTATCAACTCTTCCGTGGAAGTGTCCGATGACTCACCACTATCTCAATCACAATAATTAAACATGCGCACTCACAACGTTACAAAGTAACGTTTTGTTCGTAACGTTTTTTCCGGACGTTTTTAGCTGGGGGATGATGGCTAAAACATGTTCCATGTTAAAAAAAAATTAAAACATTGGCACGTTTAGCCAAATAATGTTTTTATCGTTAGCGAATTTCATATGTGGTGTCAAGGAAGATCCTCAAGTCATCGTTATGATAAGTAAAACTCGGGCGAAAATAATTTTGAGCTTTCACTTAAAAATAGATCGCATGGCGTCGATTGCCGCACGGTGGCGTTGATACAGCGCTCATCACTGTAAGGTAAAAGTCCCTCGTTCGAATCCAGCAGCCCTGAATTTCAAACCGACATATTTACAAATGGGTTTTTTCAAAAACACCCGCACTCCGGGGTTGATAGACTTCTGCTGATGCTACCCCAATTATAAAATAAATAAATAATAAAAAAATAGCACCGCACAGAATAAGGTGAATAAGGTGTGGCCTACTCGCATACATTAACTTTTAAACACTTTTAAAATCTTTAAACTTTTAAAGCATTTAATTCGATTCTGAAGTAGATAAACGTATGCTGTCGCATTTCATACGTTGGCTGAAACAATATTCTTACTCTGAATGAATGTATTTATTAGCCTGTGCACTGGAGTATGTTTGGGTGTGTTAGGGATGAAATATCGAGACCCCACAGACACACCAAAGTAGTCTAGGTGATGTAGTGTAGGGTG